CTGAAAATACTTGTGTTGATAAAGTAGGTAAATATCACATTATAAGAATAGTTGATGATTATTTCTTTTAAAAGAAGTATTATATTTACGACTTTGTGCAATTCACTTGTATTCCAAAAGTATTGGTGTTTTTTTGTTGGTTGGTTGAAGTACGTGCAAAAATAATACATGGGGTAACATTAGCAAAAGGATGTCAACTCCCTTAGTAGTCTAATGGAGAAAATGGGGTCACTCGTTTCTGTTGTTGCTGTCACTCATGGGTTTTTGAACTGTATGACTCAATCTCTGTGTGACTCATCAATCTTCTAAAGCATAGAATGCTATTTCAGCCAAATCATAAAGGTAATACGATGCTTTGTTAGTGTTTAAACCATAAAAGGCCTTTTAATATTTTGTTGAGATGTGCGTGGCAAATCTAGTATTATTTAACTGTAGAGCAAAGCAAGAAGCGTGTTACCTAGGATTATGGTTATGATTATTTTTACCAGTAATTTTATAACTCTGTCCTTTGCTTGTGCTCCATGCATAGGGAGTTGGCCTCTCAGTCCATGGGCATTTCCGAGTTGCTACAGAAAAGACACTTTTCGCAATGCCGGAAACATCAATAGGTAAGTATTTTAACAGCTTATCACATTTTAACATGCTTAAAGTTACACTGTTTGTGTAACCAGGATGAAATATCTTTGACTGAAAGCAGTGGTAATAATGAAAGAATTTTAAAAAGGAATCTGAGATGACCATATATGGAAAGTATTTTCTATTAAATTAATAGAAACTTATCTGTATTCTGGGAGGTTGATCATTGAAGTTCTTAACCTGGGGTTTACTGTTTAGACTGACACAAAGACTGTCAGGCTACCATTTTTAAAAAATGGAAGTAGATATGAGGAACTAAGGCTTTGCTACAGATGTAGGCAGATAAAGTCTGAAGATCCCAGTGCTAGTATGTCAACTTTACATTCGGAACTCAGTATGATTCAGACTGGCTGTAGTACAAGCTGATCTGCAATGTTAATGAGACAGGTTTTGAAACTCCAGCTTTTCTTGTAGATTGTTAATATAGACCTATTACACGTGTGTACAGATTGTCTGCAGGCGAGACCACAGTGTCGTCGTCTTTGTTTTTTTTAAATAGCAACATGTACCTTGTGTTTTCTAATGTTTGATTCTACAGCTTCTTTGTCAACTCTGAGATGTATAAAGAAAATGTTGTGTCTCAGAGCTATATGAAGATGGTGGTATGGCTCAGGAAAAGTCAGTCAGATTAAAGTGAACCCTCCTGTGAAATCATTCACCTTCAAGACAATCCTGGCACCAACAGGGTATCCACATTCAACCTATTATTGTCTGGCATATATACTCCATTAATGCTTTCATCAATGTCCAAGTCCCTTCTCCCTGCTTATCTACAATGTTTATGATGAGTGTTCAAAACCTATAACCTATCCTGCATTTCTCTCCTGCAAAATTTCTAGTTTCTACATCTTTCCAAAGCAAGGCAGCTGAAGGATGATTGCAATTGTTCTTATCTTTATGTCCTCAAGCAGGAGGATGAGGCAAGTCTGTAATGCGTGGCCCTGTTGAACATGTTAGTCAGAGTAGAGAACCTTATCTGGTGGTCAAACAGCTTAAATGGCACCAGACATGGTGCTATTAGGTTCAATCTTAGTTTTACCTCAAGTAATTAGTTGTAAGGAGTAGTGACCATTATTTTCTTAAAAGAATTTCCAAACAGTTACCTAATGTTAAAACTAAGAAATAATGTAAAAAATAAAAAATTAGGCCTCAGTTCTGAAAAGAGAATAAAAGTTAAAATATTCTCAACAAAAGGAGAATATTATAAGTATAATAATGTCATTAAAACTAAAGTTAAAATGCATGCTTAGCTAATGACTGGATTTTTGTAGTGCCCCCCGTTAGTAATGCTTAAAAGGTCTAGCATTTTTCATATTTTTAAATGGTGTCTTACACGTTATCTATTGTTTATTGCTATCCAGCCTGTATGAAACATTTCACCAGGCTTATTCTGACATAGTAAACCCCCCAAATATAAGCAAGCTCATTATCATTTTAACTCCCCCCAAAATATTAGAGCAATTCCTGCTAGCTGATAAATGTCATGTAATTTCGCTGAACAAGTAAGTTTGGGATGAGAAAAACAAAAACTGTTGCAGCCCTCCAAATATTTTTCTCTGCTGAAGGAAAACTTAGTAAACTAAATAGCTCAAGCATTAATACAACATGAATTTGCTAAGCTCCTGAAGTTCATAATCAGTTGTTGTACAAGAAAACCATTTGAAGGAAACATTTTTTTTTGAAAACTAAACAGAGGTTCTATGGCACATAAAATTTTTCTAATAATAAAGATACCTTCTTCACTTTCTTCTTCGAAGGTAAAGATATGAGTAGTCTTATGTTAACAAAAACTATGTACTTTACATACATTTCTGGTGTTGACAAGGACTTATTTAAACAAAAATAGACTGTGAAGACATGTAAAGGAAAAGCTTAGAACTTGCTTAAGAAAGAAAGTAATTAAACCCTTTTAGGATCAGTTAGAAGTGAACCCACTGAAATCTGTTTGAATTTAAGGGCTTAGCTGTTTGATCTCTCTGGTGTATCTTTAAAATGTCTAGCTGTCTAGATATTGTATTAATTGATTTTTTCATATGTTCACTTATTTCAGTAGGCGTTACACCTTTTCTGTGAAATGAAAACAAAGTGTTCATTCAGCTGCTACATTTTCACATAATTATTCTGCATTTATACACCAGCATAAATAAAAGGATATAGATAGATATGCCACTTTGCAAATAGAAATAAAAGGCAGCTCTAGATTGTAGGAGTTTGAAACTGACACAGATAAGATAAAGCACTGGAAAGCAGCTTAGGTGTAGGAGGGTGTGGAAAAAACACTGGTGGGAAGAACAAAAGATGAAAGTATTTGTAAGAAGTGGGCTTTAAGGTGATGTTATAATAATAGCGGACACTTTCTTGTATATCCCTCTAAGTTTTTAGCTTTCTATAAGTTATTTACTAATAAATATCCAATCACCTCTGCAAGATAAGGTAGGAATGTGGTAGCGCTACCTTTGTCTTACGCTTGGCAACTGCAGGTTTTCACAATTAGGATTACAGTGAAGCGTGTTGCATCTGTCTCAGAGCACAGACTGCAAGTGAGCATTACAGGCATAGGCTTTTAGCCTGGTCAGCCCAGCAGACGTTCAGTTCTTCTCTGATTTAAGAAGGGATTTGAGAAATAATTGGTAAATGCTATCAAAAGCAAAATAAAATCAAGTATATGGAATACATTAAGAGAAACCCAGTAGAAACATATGGGAAGCATTATTGAGAGAATTAAGAGGAGTATGTAGAACAGGGACAAGAGGAGTAAAATTATAAGAAGGAAGACAGGGACCTTGAAAAGGATACAGTAAAAGCTATAGCGGACTACATTTATGCAACCAAGTAAGTTTAAAGTGGATTAGTTACACGCTCACTAATCCTGTTTGTAAATTCCTTAATAATTAAAGAAACCTTCATTCAATTCAGTCTTACTTGCTTCTAAACCAACTTAAGCTAATCAACTTCACACTTTATTTAGAACTAGTTTTCCAGTGTATGGCCATGTGGAAGGGCCCTATAGATCCTAATAGGAAGATGGCTTTTCCTCTGGAAACTTACTGGAGCATGGGGAGAATAGTACTTCAGCATCGGTACTTTAATTACAGCAAAGAGGAAAAGGTTGTTGCTGTTGCAGTCCTGGTGGATGAGGAGAACAATGTAATTGCCTTTTTGCTTTGGAGGGCATTTATAAAACAAATTTCATTTTGAAATGATGGATTTTTTTGCAGTAGTAGGATATCCAAGGGGAGACAGATGAATAGAAACATAAAACTAAATGACAGTCTTGGCATCAGCATTATAGATATGATGGCTCAAACTGAGAAGGTAAAATGCAGAGTAGACTATTCAGAATGTGAGTACAAATGAAAAAGAAGGCAAGTGATGAATTGGGGTAAATACAGCTTAGGGCTTTGAAAGGGTGCCAACAAGACATTCAGTATTTTAGGAGAAGAGCTGTATGTCTCAGTAGCCTGTGGGATGAGGAATAAATCAGTTAATCGCAACATGCACATCAGTGGGAATGGGAATAGAATACTACAACTATAACTGATAGGAAGTGGCTCCTAAAAACAACTTTGTGTTAGAGGCAGCAGAACTAAGGGAGGACCAAGGAGGAACCAGAGGAGAAGCTGAGAGATGGGTGAGAACTTAAGGCAGTGATGAACTTTAAAGATTATTGAGAAGAGGAACACACTGAAGAGAAGCTGTCTGAAAGAAACCTCCCCTTGATTCCATCCAAGGGGGAGGAATATTCAGGGACCACTAATTTCCCACATCTTAAAATACTTGTATTAGGGTCTTTCTATAATACATACATTGACTCTTTTGTGATTGAAAGCAATTACTTGTGAGTGAAAATTACCACCTTCTGTCAGAACCCCATTTAAACTCCTTATGTACCTCTTAATCTTCCCAGTTAGTATCTCTGCTTCAGAGTTTCCTGTTGCTCATTTGTGTATTCTCTTAAGTTTATTTTCATTATTTATTTATTCTCTCAAAGTGAAAAAAACACCCACACATCTTTAATTTCTTCAAAAGACTTTCAGTTTCATGAATGCACCATTGGTGATTATTTCAAAGTAGTAACTGGACACTGCTTCTTTGCATTTCGATTTCTGAGATTGATATAGCTAAGCTTAAGTTTTCTTAAGTTTAAAAGTGTGTTAAAAGTTACAAAAAGTGTTTGAATTTATTTTGTAGGTGATTAACGTATATAACAGAATAAGGTAGATATTGACAAAGTGATTTTAAATATTTAAACTTTGATAAAAGTAGTTACATATTTTTCAATTACAACTTTTAAAAGTCTTTGAAATTTTTTTCACAGCTTTGAATTTTTAAAAATTACCCTACTCTGTAGATTTAAAAAAATATAAATGTAAGACAGTCACTAAACTGGAAAGTTTTATAATTTTTTTAAGTTGCAGGTTAGTCATAGTCCTGTAAAAGAGCCAGATATTAGGTCAGCATTTCATGCATCTACCTTCAGGAAGACCCTGGCAATATTGTTGATCTATTAATGAATTCTCAGCCTCAGAATTTGTTCAAACTTAGCTGTGCAAGAGGCACCTCGTCATTGTTTGATATTTTTGTTGTAATAAAAGATTTCAGAGAAAAAGCAGCATCCAGTTTGAGCTTACATGAATTATTTCACAGTTCTTTGTGTCATTTCTGCTTTTTGCTGAGAGGATGCTTGATTCTTCAGGCATCTAAAAATGTCTCAGGTTCTTGGCAAATAGAATGAACACTATTGTATGATATATGTTTGTAAATTATGTGCCAGTGGAAAGGATACAATTTGGAAGGTGATCAAGAGCTCGATCTTAGGAAGGGTTTTGGTGACAGAGAAATGTCAAACCAAGTCAAGGAGAAACTTGGGCAAGAGAGCAGTGCCTAAGTCAGGGAGATGAAAGTGAGACAAGAAGAAATAGCTGCTAAGTTAAATGCATGATTAGGACAAGTTCTTTTCCCTTCATGTTTTTTTTTGTTTTGTTTTGTTTATTACAGGCCTCTTTCCTGATGTAGGTGGAGGATATTTCTTGCCAAGACTATCAGGAAAGCTTGGCTATTACCTTGGACTAACAGGATTTAGGCTGAGAGGAAGAGATGTACTAAAAGCTGGCATCGCTACACATTTTGTAGAATCCGAAAAGGTAAGCTGCTAACTAGTGCTAGCGAGGGCACAGCCTACAACCATAATGACATGTTTGAGTTGTGTAGCACAACAATATAGTTTACCAACTTGAGTGTATGCAGAGGCGCAATTATATTAGCTGGCCATGCACTGTGAATGGGGATCATAAGATACTCTCAAGCTGTCATTATGACACTTGCCAGCTAGTGACAGCTTTGCTTGGAAGAAGGAGCAAATGTTGCCGTCTTCATGATTCTGCTGTTGAAGGGCATGATTTACTGAGCGTAATTGAAGTTGTTTGAAAAACTGTACAATTTAGACAACAGTGTCTGAAATTAGAGATTATTTATACAACTGAAAAGTTTTTAACCTAGGTAACGCCCCATTAATATGTTCTTTATCAGTCTCCTTAATAGATATCCTGTTTGTTTCTTACAGTGGCTGTAAGAAAGTGTAAAAATTAGTATATTTGATAAAGTCAGAGTCATAATGTTCCAGTAACTTGTGTGGACATAACTGAAGGAGAAACAATGACTTGCTTTCCTTCTCTGTGTAAGGACCCACGACTGTCATTGTGGAGCTGGTTAGATACTATTTTGAGCATAACATGGTTGCCAGGCTCCTGCTCTTTCCTCTCAGACTGTTGTAGGCTGGCTTTACCTGCTGCAGCTGTAGTACTGCATTGGGGGTCTGCTTGGGAAGCAGAGTTCTTTGCTGATCACTGCAGACATAATTAAATCCAGATGGTTCAACACTGAAAAGTGAACTCTGGGTCCTTGTATTGTTTACTTGGTACTTCTTTAAGATCTGTCTGAAAATTGGGGGGATGTGAGGGGTGTTTATATACATATATACTATATAGTACTATTATCATAGCAGTAGTATTCCAAGAAGTACATTTTGGTTTACTTGCTTTTAATTAAATCTTATTTTTAATAGCTACCTGCCTTAGAGAAAGACCTGATAGCACTGAAATCTCCTTCAATGGAAAATATTGCAGACTTACTGAACTCTTACCAGGTGAAGGTAATATGATCAGTTACTGAAATCATGCAGAATTGTTAAATATGTGTAAATACAAATTCTTTTTCATCCATGCTACTGATCACTTGTTTTATTGTTAAAAAATAATGGATTCTCTTTGCACTCTATAAAATACCAATTTCTAGCACTAATGCCCACGGTGCTCGAAATTAAAATTTAGAAGTCTTTCTTCACTTTTTATTCATTTTGGATACCCCTCAAATTCCTATTGTGATCAGCTCGCTCTCTATGTGTGTATGTAAGTTTCCAGCCAGTAGCATGATGATGCAGAAAATATATTGCTGCTTAATTTTCCCCCCATTATTCTTGGATTTCTAGCATGCTTTGCAGAAGGCAAAATAGATAGCCACTAGCAGACTGGGAGTTGTACATGATGGCAAGTGCAATCTAGGGAGTTAGCCTGAAATTCAGGCATTCTGACACACACAAACGACAGCGGTAGAACTACTGGCCTAGTCCAGAGGCTGCAGAAGTTATAGTGCCAGTTATTAAACGCTGCGCTGCTCACTTGGAAGTGGATGTTATATTTACATCCCAGAAACTTTGTCAACCTGAAGAAATATTTCGCTAGCTTGATGCATTTGCTGTAAATTTTAGCATTATTTTGATGCAGACCATCTGCAGTTCAGATGTGAAGCCTGAATTTAAAGGCTCAAGTTGTTCCTTTAATTTCTCAAATATTTTGTAGGTTTGTAACCTTGAGATAATTGAAAGACTGTAAATAAGCACAGCAGTTATCAATAGGATAAGTATTAGCAGAGTGCAGGTACGTTGTAGGGAAAGCATCTGAGGTCTTAAGGCACTATTTTTAGGGGGAGAAAGGTGCTGCTTTCCCAGTGGGCAAACACATAGTTCTCTGTTGTGATTTTGGAGGTGAATGTAACTGTATTGATAATACATAATTAGTATTTGTATTAGCCCCATGTAGCAATGGGCATGAAAATAAAAGGTTTTGGCTTTACAATCAGTTTATTCAGTGGCTATTTTAGCTGTTTTGATGTGCATTATAATTTTATTTCAAAAGAAAGGAAACTTCTGGAGTCAAATCAGGATTCAATGTATTCAGGCAATCTGAGTATTACTCCCCAGTTGCTCAGCTTTAAAATGAGCAGTTTCTACTCCTGTTATTTCTTTTTTGGAATTACTAAGTTCATATATAAAGATTAATTAGAAAATAAATGGGATAAGCTAATTTATATAGTAGTACTGAATATTTTGACAAAATAGAAAGCTATGAAATAGGAGTGATTATATGTTGCAGTATACTGCTTTACAAGATGCCACTGAATGGAAAAGGAAGCTGTGTATTTTTAGTTATCTGAGCTGAAGTGACAGCTTCAGCTGCTCTTACTGAAACATCTGCTTATGTCCTAAACCCCTTAATGCCAGAAGATCTGAAACATTTGACAGCCTTTCCACATAAGGCCAACAGATCTTTCACACTCTTTAGTTGTCTAAATAAAATTTTGTAAAATGAGAGAGAAAAGACAAGGAAGAGAAATGCCTTTTTTTTTTGTCTTTTTTTTTTTAAAAATACATATATACATGCCTGTATATTTTTTAAGAAGATCAAGCTTTTTTCTTTTTAAAAAACATTCTCAGTTTTTTGAGTAGATTTATCTACACTGGCTTTCTTAGTGTATTTGATAGAAATGTATTGATAGAATAATCATGATTACTTGTGTACAAGATAATCACCCAGTCAAATATGCATACATAGTAGCTCAAAGCAAGCACTGCGTTATGAGGTGACATCTTCAACATTCACAAGATAAAGTGACATGTTCATTTATACACACTGCAAAATTGTAATTAATTAAAAATGTCAGTCTTCTGAATATTAAATGTTCATTCATGATACTATATTTCTGTAACACAAGTCATTGAAATTTTTCAGTACTGATAAGCTTTTCAGTCTAACATAACCAAGTAAAATATGTATTTGCTTTTTAAATAGAGCAAAGTTGATCAGGAAAAGGAGTTTGTACTTGATGAACATATGGAGAAGATTAACAGGTATTCAGCAATCTTTCTTCTTTTTTATGCTTTCGGATAGAGAACATGAAGTTAAGTCCAGTAACAGTATTGGTGTTCCACATATAATGTGATAAAATGACATTCAAGTTACTTAAACTTTTTTGTCTTTAGGGAGCTTTATCTGAAGCTCATTCAATATTTCACTCCTCCGTATATTAAATATTTCAGCATATTTGCCTGATTCACACACCACTATATTAAGCAACTACCCTATGGCACATTAAAGTGAATGTTTTCTATAGAAATTGGATGGGGATTTGTGAGAGTAATTGTTCAGTTGGACAGGAAATGTTAAGTAGTGTGTTTATACTCATTGGTACAAGGCCATTTCCATGATTGTTTGGAACTTCTGTGTACCACAAAGGGAAGGAGAAATAAGCGAGAGTGATAAGAAGCAGCAAAAACTCTTGAAGAAGGATGGCAGTAACTAAGTTTAGAGACAAAAGATGTTCACACCAAACCAGTAGAATGCAGCTGATAACTAAAGATTTGATGGTATAAAAATACAGATAAGGCTGATTGTTGTAATTAAAGTTTCTGGATAAATATCAGAGCTTGTAAGTGAGGTTTATTGAAATGCTAGAGATTTGTGAAGGAAGAGGAGATGCCTGTCAACTGAGTTACTTAAAACTGAACAACAGGGAACACATTGCTAAGAAAAGCCAAATCAGCTGGTTACGCTCTGTTTCTAATTTCTGTGTTACTACCACTTCATAGGGAATAGGAAGGCTGAAGCAGTTCATTCATTTATTAACTTTTTTTTTTCTTTTAGTCTTTTTTCAGCAAATAGTATGGAAGAAATTGTTCAAAAATTAAAGCAAGATGGTTCACCTTTTGCCATGAAGCAGCTAGAGGTAATGTCTTCTGTGTTATTTTTGTTAGAGATTTTAAGTCTGGTTCTGGACTTTCTTATCATGGGGCAGAGTTTAGTCACCATATTAACATAACTAATACTATGTAACGCCAGTAGGACATTGGACTGAGAACCTCAGGTTCTCACATATAGTCCTGTGGGATTGTCAGTAGTTCTACTCTGACAAGAATATTCCTCTGTAAAACCACACAAAGTGAATACCATCATATGTTGCATAAAATTGTAATCTAGTAAAAAAAACCAAACAAACAAACTCCCTTTCCCTTTTCCCCTCCCCACGATCAGGGGGTTGTTGGTGACAAAGATTCCTTTTATAGCTTCTCATTTTATTGCTAAGGGTTGGAACAAAACAGTGTCAGAACAATGTTGTTCGCTTTCTTCCATTCCAGATATCTCATTTGGGTAAACAGCAAACGATTTTATCATCACAAATTATTTTTTGATCTTTTTAGTGCGTTTATGAGTGTTGGATGTAGTCACAACTCAAAAAATGTACAGTAATACTACCCAATTAATACACACTTCAGCCTCAAAAGCAAGAAGCAACTTATATTCATTTATAAGTAATGTGTGTATTTTCTCTTTTTCCTTTGAAGTATCTGTATTCAGGTGCCTTGTAAAAGTTTGTCTTGGAGCTATTCAAATATTACTTACAATTGGATAGAACACAAGCATTTCTCCAACAAAAGCTTTGTTTTAACTTTAGTTACAGCTCACAGAAGAAATCCTGCTCTTGTAATAAAGTAAAACATCCATCATCTTCAGACTTCCATTTGAGCAGAAGGAATATAATTTTATAATATAGTACCATGAACATTAGGCATCCTGTCTCAGATACACAGATACATTTTTGGTTTTAGTTTGTAATTAAAGACTTAACATTTTGTCACTGGAACTCTCAAACGGTTTTTGAGGAAGGAAGTTTTAAAATTATCTTTGTGCCAATCAGTACACCTAGGACATTACAAGAAGTTTAGCATATGTATTGCAAAAGCAAAATTGAGTGAAAGGGAAAGCTAATTTTTTTCCCCACTTGTATTCAAGTTTCATTGAATAAAGTCATGACGTGAGCTAGTGCCAGAAGAGTAATTTTATGTGTTTGTAGACCTGAATTCTACCATAGGCTACCAGCATGGTTTTCCCCCAAACTATATAGGCTGTATGATTCAGTTCTTCACTTTTTTCCTATGTTATAGATGGCAGGGAACGTACTTGTATTAAGGTTTGTTGAGACAGTTTGATAGCATGTTTATAGCAGTCACTTTTGGTGGCTCTTATTTCTTTATAGTATTGAGTTACAAGGTAGTATTTTATCTGTAGATTTTATAAAGTTTAATATAATTCGGCAGGGATATTATATTGATTAGTTTCAGTGGAGGTTGAAAACAATCAAGAATTATTTGCATATAGCTTTTCCCAAGATAATTTTCATACAATTTTATGGCACTTTAAAACATAATCAGACCTAGTGGAACTTTTTAAAATAGCATGTAGCTTTTAAAGGGTGCTTTGTTCAAAATACAGTTTCTAATGCAAGGAGTCTGGAAACACTTTGTTACTGAAATATCTTAACAGTTTGTTTTACCACATTTGCTCTGGTTACCCAAACCTGCTTGACTTTATTGCTTCAGCAGCAGCCTCATAACTCAGATCTCCCCTATTTAAAAAAAAACAAACAACCACTGCCCCCCCCCAAAAAAAACCCCAAAAACCCACATGTTCCCTGTTGTTTAGGGGGATACATTTGTTTCATATTTTTAATTTAGAACTTAAAACTATGTCATCTACTTCAAAGTTATGATTTTGTGTAATGATTTTTTTTTAATTCCTGAACAAAAAAAAAAGGCTCTTTCGGGACAGACACACCGCACATTTTCTAGCAGATGCAAGGCTTATTAGTGTGAACAAGCACATAAGTTTCAAACAAGTTTTAACAGTACATATTCTGTGCTAAGCAGTAGGATGAAGTAAGCTTGTAGGATCAGATACTTCATTTCTTCTGTGAAAGATCCACAAAAACTAAAGAAGGAAAATGCATATGTGGGGGGAAAAAAGTTAAAAAGGAATTGAGGTATAAATCTGGCTTTTTCCAGGAAATGCTTGCCAGTTAAACGGGAGGTTTTGTTTTACTAGGGAAGCAGAACTGTAATTAAACTTAATTGCAGTTGGAGGAAGAATGGTAGCTTGCACCCTGGCAGTTGAGCATTTTACACCACCTACAGACAGAGCACTGGCCTGCTGTCACATCACTCGGAGGAGCAGAGTTCAAAAAACTGGTTAGAGCAGGGAGCACATAGCAAAACCATGACAGTCTGAGGTTACCACACATTATCCTTGATAGCAGTTCGCGGACTTGTCTGAAGCAAGTCATTTTCCTCAGTAGCAGTACCAAGAGTATGTCCATTGATGATAGTTCCCTGTCACTTTGTGAAAGCAAGGTTTCACTTCAGTGTCCAGGTACAGGAACAACAGCACATTCAAATGACAAATATAGAGACTGTAAAGGATTTAGTAACAGCAACGTGTATGCTTATTTTCTTTGTTTGCCTGTATATTTATCATGATATGTATTAGTAAGCTTACAGAATAAGCCCTAACTTAAAGTCTAATACAAATACCCTAATTTGGAAGTACACCTTGGTACATCCACACCTTGGATGTACAGATACCTTTTAGTGTTAATAAAATGGAACTACTAGTTCTGCTATAATCCAAGTATGCTGTCAGCCATGCTATCCTAGGTATCCTGTTCTGCTCAATTAACAGTACTTCTGCTTTTTACTTTCAAAACATGCCTGCTTGTCAGGCTTTCACGTGTCTGATACTAAAGTGGTTTGCATGAATAAGAAGAATGTAAAGTTGTTAAAATTCTACTTGAGAATGACCTCATGATTTAAATCACATTTTGAACCCAGTTACAAATAGGTAGAAAGCTAGAGTACTAACATACTTTTTGAACTTACAGTAAAATATTTTTTAAAACCTTTTGCTTTATAGCATTACTTTATTTTCAGGATTTAAAGCTTTTTGGCTCATGTAATCTAAGTGACAGAAGTACCACTTCTAATTGGATGAAGTAAGCATGTGGGTCAAAACCTGAAAAGTGTCAGATTGTAGAATCATGGAAGTGTTTGGGTTGGAAGGGACCTTTAAAGTTCATCTAGTTCAATCCCCCTGCAATGAGCAGGACATCTTCAACTAGATCAGGTGCCTCAGAGCCCCATCCAGCCTGGCCTTGAATGTTTCCAGGGATGGGGCATCTATCACCTCTCTGGGCAACCTGTTCCAGTGGTTCACCATCCTCATCATAACAAAATTTCTTCCTTGTATCTAGTCTGAATCTATCCTCTTTTAGTTTAAAACCATTACCCCTTGTCCTATTACAACAGGCCCCATTAAAAAGTTTGCTCCCATCTTTCTTATAAGCCCCTCTTTAAGTATTGACAGGCCTTGGTTTTCACATGATGCTTTCTTATAGCTTTTTTTTGGCAGGACAGTGCACCTTCTGAGCAATGATACTTCATGATTTAATAACCTTCATTGTTACTGAATGAATTCCAGTGTAGTGTGCAGGACACTGCACAGACTAAGAATTACAAGACACCTTGTCCAGACCTACGGGTCAGGCTGGGGTGCAGACACTAGCTCCTGAAACTTTAAATGGGTATGCAGCAAGTGGGTGAGATAGATTACAGGAATGAAGCTGGATGGTGTCTTGGTAGTGTTGAATTCAAGTAAAGCAGCATTCTGAAACTCTGTTAAACAGATCAGTAAGAGAGTGATACATCTGTCCTTAAGCAGCTTTCCTGTGATGCTTTGGCTAGATACTGATATTTTATCAAAGCTCATCCAGAACCATTGTTTGGTGCAGATGAACAAATGCTTTGGTATCTCAGAGGGTAAGTGATGGCTGTCTTCATCTATTGCAAGGGAAGTGATACACTGAACCTCTGGGAGTTTTTTCTGTTTGTTTTAACTTAAAGAAAGCCTCCCTCAAGGGCCCTCAGCAGCTCAGGTCAGAAACTTTAGTGGGCCTTGGAGACAAGATGCAGCCACTATTCCAGCTGTTACTCTTGTAAGGGACTCCACTGAGTCAGTGCCGCTTAATTCGGGCACCTTCTGATAGTATCTTACTGGAATTCAGGTCTATTGCAAATTCAGCTTGTAGCTTTAAGGATCATTATGTTGAAATCAAGATTGTCTCAAAGATACTGGAATAGATGTCAGGTAGTTCTATGAAGACTTCTTTGCATTTTAGTACTCCCCACTTCAGCCTATCCTATCTCCTTTTCAGGCTTGTTCCCTAGCACCGATCCCCTCCTCCTCTTTGTAGAGAGAATTTATTTATAGATACGCTGGTGACTCATTTTTCTGCAATTACACCTACCCATTTTCTTTCCTTGTTCCTCTTCCTTCAGCTTGATTTATGGCAGTGCCTCCTCCACCTTCAACCTCATTGATATGCCAAGATGAGGCAGCTGCTGGATGCACTAGACTAGTTAAGTGCTGTTTTCAGATCTTCCCCATTTCAGTGCTTTCTTTGACCAGAAAGGACTTGCTGTTACCATTTCACCTAGGGAACCATCTGGTTGCATTGTGCTTACTGTTTAACCTGGCCTGAGCAAAAACTTCCTGATCTAGATGACAGAATGTGAAACTCCAAGGAGAAAAGGTCCAGTTCAAAGGTAATGCCAGCAAGAGCACGTTATGGGAAATAAGGGATCCAGTTAAGAGTTGCCATCCATCTGAGACCTACACAGTGATGTAATTAGAGGTATAGCTGGTTTCTTTTATCTGCTGAAAGGCAGCTCATTGTTAGGGAACTCTACCAGAACTCAGGAAGTGTTGACAGTTTGAGCCAGCATTAGTTCTTTCTAAACCAGCTTCTCTCTCGAGCAAAGTGGTCAACATGCAAGTAACAGAATGACAGAACCAGTGTTTTTAAGGTACAATTGCACAGCCTCCTGCTTGTATAGCAATTGCATGTTTTCCAGCTTAACTAGGCAAAATGGGTCACTGCTGTATCAGCTGGTGTCTGGAGAGGGATGAAGAGTAATTGGGAGCCAGAAAAAATGTTAATGTTGATGACCTGCCATTTTAGTCTGTGGGCAAGGGGTCTAATTTCTGTAATGAAAATAATGTAAAGAGGCAAATCTTACCATCTGCTGCTTTTCAGTAGTGGTAAAAAATGTCCTAATTAACAGGAAATGTCTGTTGTACTGTGAATAATAGAGCTTTTGGTTGGGTTTACATGGGAAGAAGAGTCTTGTTTAGAGTAAGAAAACAAAGATCAGCAACAAAAAGATTTAGCTCTTTCCCCCCCCAACCCTGAAAGCTTTAACGCTCAGTTCTGTTTTCTTAACTAGGTTTTTGTCTTTCTCCCCACCTCCCCCTGCTGTTTACTGGCATGCTGTTAATTGAAGGATAGTCATGGGAGCCAGATTTACAGCATTTGTTTGTGTGCCTTAAACAGATCCTGTCTGCTGCATAATATTTATAGCCTGTAGCTCTGTCAAAAGAAGGAAGGCAAGACCTCCAGGCTTCCTGTCAGCAGAGCAATGTAGGGCTAAATTACTGCAGTTATCTGTTGATCCCAGACAAGCATGGACAAATATGCATTTATGTTTGATTTCTTTTAATTTTTTTTTCTTCCACAATTTTCTTCTTAGTATATTGTCTAGTCTTTGCAGATGATCATAAAGCCACTACTTAAAGTTTGTTGTTAATCTCACGATATTTACCTTACTGCTCTGACTATTGTACCAAATAAATGCTGCACAATACTGATATCAGCTACAATAACAGCTATCAGTAACATCTAAGAGCAATTCAGACTATATATACATATGATATGCAAAAATGGAGTATAATTGCTTGTAACACTCGCCTTCACTTTTCAAAAGAATCTGTTTGGAAATGGCTTTCAAGCTGCATTAGATTCTCTGGCTAGTAGTAATTTGATCATAAATGATGTGACCTTAGGAGTTTTAGGCTTTCCACAAGTGATAGCATACATCCCAGAGATCTTGCTGATAAAAGTTAGTGCAAGCGAATTCATTTAGTATGACAGTATGGTGGGAGGGAACAGGAGGAACAGGTATCACTTAAGTGAGCTCATGGAGAAGAGTGCCATCATTTACTTCACAAGATTTAAAATGCAAAGAAAGCGAGATGTGCAAATGTGTAAATTGAAGAGAATAAAAATAATTGTTAATGTCTTCCCCAGACTATTAATAAGATGTCACCTACATCCTTAAAGATGACTCTCAGACAGCTCAGAGAAGGAGCTTCCATGAGCTTACAAGATGTGTTCACAATGGAATACAGACTGAGCCAAGCATGCATGGTAAGCAAGCAGCTGAGCCCTTTCTCTCTTTCTAGCCACGGAGGAGTAGCAAGTCTATCAGAGCCCAAGTTTTATATAGATTACATCAAGGGCTCACAGTTTATAGGTTTTCATTTTCAATATCTTCTTTGTGCGTTTGTTAGGGTGTCTCTTTTTTCCAGTTCCGTGTCTTTATATGCAACTCGAAGGAGACTACATTAATCATGGTGAGATGGGAATGGTCGAGGGCTTTTGTTAAGAAAACTATAATAATGGGTTTTTATCTTTCAGAGAGGCCATGACTTCTATGAAGGGGTTCGGGCAGGTAAGCATGGACACCAGAAACTTTTCTCAAACTTAATAATATGCAGACTCACTGCTGTGTTGCTTCTCTGGAGGTTAAGAAAAGTACATGCAGCAACAGCCCAGAGAACACTTCCCAGCTTCCTACAGTTTTTGCTAATTGAACTCCTGTATGGCCAAAATTTATTATTTGTTCCAAAGTGTAACAGCCATGTTGTTTCCTTTGTGTAATCTGTTTCCTAATATTATTTATCCACCTGGTAACACAGCACCATGAAAAGGTTTTACCAGTTCATTGGGAAAGTTCAAAATATATTTAATGCCGACAGTAGTGAGTAGCTATGTGTATCATTTGTGCGTCCAGATTTAGCGTTGCCATATAGCTGGTTCAGCCAGCTATAAGATGGTTTAAGACTTGAAGTCAAGAGCAACTATTTGCATAGAAGATTGTTAGAACAGAGACTGCTTTCAGCCATGTCCAAAGTATCTCTGTATAGAGGTGTCTTACTATTAAAAAACTATATATGCAAACTTAATGTTAAATAATTCAGCATTTTAAGGCATTTGTCAAGATAGGTAGTGGTAAAAGTAGAGCAGCGGCTCAGCAAGTTCATCTAGGGGACAGACTTAGATTCTGTCCTTGATTCTACTGCTGATTCACTATGCAGTGTGTCAAACCCGATGTCACATCTGTTGGGAACTGTAGTAATTATTTATGTACTATTCAGCACAAGATGAAACAAAGCACAGGCATTTCCTTTTCCAAGGAGCTTACAGTACAAGACATTCGGATGAATAACACTTTGGGGTTGAGGGAACCTGGCTTTTAATTCACACAGTTACATACTTAAGTATGTATTGTCACCTCCTCCACATTTTTTATCTCTGTCTTTATAAAGTAGTTTAAAATCCACTTGAGTAGTCAATATTAGTTTTAGTGCTCAGCATTAGTAATACTGTATTAAAGATAGCCTGGGGTGAGAGATGCAAAGTTTGTTTGTACAGCATTGAAAAAGTTTCTGATTTTAATTAATTAATCTTTAGCACTTATTAGCAGAGACTCCTTTGAAGAATTTACCACACATGTTGAGAAGTACATGGTTTTCATTGTGTTGGTAATGGGGACAAAGGTATCTTAAAAAGAATATTCCTAGGATATATTCTAAATCACCATATAAGCTGCTGAAATGTATTTATTCAGGAAGTGACAAACTCAAAGTCTGAGAGATGAACACCAAACCAAATTCTCACTTGTAACGCACAAGGTCATGAAACCATCTGGGGATGCGGTAGAGGACAAAAGCAAATCACTTGTCAGTATGGCCAGTAAATGACACAAATGGCTTGTAAAGAAAGAAGCTGCAAGAACAGCAGTTGGGAAGCTTCTCTCTTACATAGGATGATGTAGCAAAGGCTTAACTCCATCACGGGAAGAAAAAAACCCAAACAAACACCACCAGAGATCCAGCTGCACCGAGGGGATTGCTAAGAATAATAATTTGTTCTTGAAGCACTTTTGCTCTCTGCTTACTGCATATATCTTGCTCTCAGATTTGTCTCTTAAAATTGTTTCTCTTGTTTAAGAGTGGTGCAGAATCTGACTCAAGATCATTTTTGTAGTTGGGTCTAATCTCATAAAAATCACCATCCAACAATGTGCTGAGCATCCTTTTTAATAGGAAGTAAGATTATTAAGTACTTCACAGGATCAACCATAGTGAATAAAAATGAAAATTATAAAAAATGTTAGTTTAAGTTTTAGCTTTTTCTTTATTAAAGCATTACATTCCAAGCATTTAAGAACCAGCTGTTGACCCTGTCTACCACAAGAGGATCTACTACTAGTTTTTGAAGATTGTTTTTCAGCAACAATTGCCATAGGTCAGGTTTTAATAACAGCTTTTATCTGCTTCAAACCGTAATTTTAATAGGAATGCTAGGGAAGTAGTTTGTTTAAAAGCTTTTTAAACCTGCTTTGACCTGAGATCAAAATTTCATGTTTTCTTCTAGCCAGTTTTCTTTCAACCAGACTGAAAATCTGCTGGCAAACAGTCTTCCCCATTTACAATTCTTGTGATTGGAGCTGCTAAAGAAAAGCCAAAACCCTTAAAGCATAAAATACACAGATCATATTTCATCAGCATTTTCCCACGTAATGGTAAATGTGGTCTTTGAACACTTTAGGTATCCATTTTTCACCTTGATTTATAGAATAATACATAAACTAAGAAATGCATAGCTCTGGGTAATTTCCAAAAGTTTTGTTTTTTAATTCTTACTGCATAAGAAAAGTGTCCATTTTTTGAGTCAGTGCTCAAACACATCCAGGTAGACTACAATCTCAACTGCCTGAGGGGACAAAAATCTGTTAAATTAGCCTCCTAACTATTTGTGCAGGAATGTACACTTCAAGTGGAATTGTAAAGACCTTCTACATATTGCTGATCCTGCAAAGATCTTATTTCTGTACGGCTTCTGCCCTCTCCTGCAGTGCTAGCAGCTGGCAGATGTGAGCCTTACCCCAGGCACACAAACCCCCTGCAGTCAGTGAGTAGGTAGAGAGATTTCATTGCAACTAACAATTTCAGGTGCTTAGAAACATCAGTTTTGACTGTGCTGAATGAAGCTAAGCAATAGAACACTAATTGAAGTCCAGTAAAGCCACTGCTACTGAACAGAGAGGGTTCAGATTGATTTTTTTTAAAAAAAAACAGAAGAACAAACCCTTAATACAATGTCTATGTTCAGTTACTTTTATCTCAATGAACTTCCCTTAGCCTACCTTAGAAGTCTTCAGAATTTTTGTTCTGTTCTTGTAGTGATCGATATCTCAAGCTGGAGAAAGACAAATTATGCAGAAGTTAATGCAGAAAGGGAATATTTTCCCGATGCTAATAGAAGACAAGTGTTATAACTCATATAAGATGAAAGATTTCATTGAAGAGACCGTTATAAGCATCCAGTTTATCCACCAAACTGGCCACAGATCCAAACAGGACTAACTTGATTACACAGCAGTGCCATAGAGTGGAGAATTATCAGCAATTACTACTGTATTTCATAGTTGAAGCTGTAGTGATATACACGTGGTCTTTTGGTTTTTTTCCCCTCTCTAATTTAAAGCATCTCTTGTCAGTGTTGTCTTTTGTGGGTAACTTAAGATTTTTTTTTGGCCAGATCGTGAACTTCAACTAAAGTTGAAGAAAATCATTAGATAAGTACTACTCAGATGGAAGAAATATAGTTGATTTGGGACAATTATGTATTTTGACCCAAACCAATCAGTGGCTTCATATCACAATGTTTAAAATTAACTTGTAGGATCATAACTTTTCAATAACGTACCCAGTTGAATGACCTAGTAAAATCACTCTTTTGCAGCACATTTCTTTTAAAGAATTGTCCACATGGATTCTACTCTCTGTGGAATTACAGCTTCTACCTATATAATGGGATCCTTTTTAAAATTAGCATTTATGTGTATCCAAGGCATCCTTAGTCCTGTATTTGCAGGTAAATGGATGCAGGGCTCAGATTCTCCTTTCTCTTTGGAGATGCAAGCTAAAGAGTTGTGATGCCTGTACGTCTTTAGCCACAGAAATATTAATTAGTGCGATTGTCATCTGAGTGCTATTTATTTTCTAGGCATTTTCCAAATACTGGTTATAGAGGGAAAAGTTAACAAGTTTTCAAGTCACATTTTTTACCACAAACTGCCATAATGCCCATCTTTTGATAAGACAGTCTTTAGGTGGGCATTCTTTACACTGAACTTAAAGTCCAGCTCATTTGCACATTTCTCATCCTGGATGGTTCTAGTTTAGTCACTAAGAATGAAGTCTGTTTAGAAAGACATGACAACTTACCAAAAAACAGCTGTTATTCTTCAAAATATCTAGTCTCTGTGAGTGTCTTCTGTCCGCACACCTTTAGAACCATCCTACTCTGAAGTCTTTGTCAGAAAGAAAGAAAGAAACAAACAAACAAATTCTGTTCTCAGCAGAGGAACTTGAGAGGTGCTTTCTGCCCATCCTCCCTTATATGCTGTGGGCTGTGTTGGTCTCAGGAGGTCTCCCAGGACACAGGTGCATCTCCAAATCAGGTGCTGATATCACACCTCTGAAGGGAATGCGTGCTGAGGAGGGATGTTGGGTAGTCAGTGCATCCTAGAGAGCCAGTTACTATAGCTGTTCTTTTTAAATCATGAAAATTTCACATTTTGAATAGCACCTTTACAGGTTTTCTTGGGGCCAGGAAGGTGCTCAGAAGAATGCTCTGGAATTCCATTCGTATTGGTCATTTTTACACACAAATAAACTCTCTCTTGTCTTATTATTGTTTGCTAGTGCCATTGTTCTTGCTGACATGCCTTCAACATTCCTGTGATACAAGAAATGCTTTTTGAGAATTGATCTTTTCTTGTCACACTCTTACATGTGATTCTTTCACTGATGATTTTATCTTCAGTGATGTATTTCCCAGGATACAGCGTAAAGTACACATACTAAGATTATACAAATCTTCACAGTTGAATCTACATAGGTCTGCAGTATCTGTCAGTATTTACAAATAAATATTCTTGATTTTCCCACAAAGATACTCTGCTTTACTCTTTCCTCATTAGTTATTTCATTATTAGTTTATATGATGTGTTTAAATTAGCTTTAGACATTTAACACCTACTTTGAGTCATCTCCTATATGCTACAAGAGTCAGATTTTGCACAGAGATGTGGAAGTCCTTGTCCAGAAGGAGCATTATGAAAAAGCAGAAGACAGGCAAGAGTAGTAGGTCTAACAGAAAGCGCTAATTTCAGGTCTGTTCCTTCAAAGCTTGGGCTACTTCTGAAGTGATCCCCTGTTCCTTGTATCATCAGGCAGCTCCCAGATACATCTCTAGGCAGGTCATAACTCAAGAATTTTTATTAGAGTAGAAGCATATATGTTACAAAAACTCTGACTTCTCCAGAGCATAATGATTTTTCTCCCCCGTGTATTCACTGTAGTTGCCTGTCTTGATGCAATCTGAAGTCATCTTAATTAGAGCAAGTTTACAGGTTAACTTTTGTGTTTTTATACTCCACCTGACAGTGCTGATTGACAAAGACCAGTCCCCCAGATGGAAGCCAGCTGCTCTAGAAGAAGTCAGTGATGAATTTGTGGACAATTGTTTTAAGCCATTGGGAAACAACGATCTCAAGTTGTAAAGATCAAGCCTATTGACATCTTATACATCTGCTTAATTCTACGATGTAAAAATTTATAGTAGTGTGATAAGTTTGACAAGACTCTTTTAGCTAGCCTGAGAGTCGTAAGTCTAATTTTTTGCATTCAAGAATGTTCTCTTTTGTTACGCTGCCATAATGACAAAATAATCATATCTCTGGTTAATAAGGGGAAAAATTACTTCAAGGCAAATTATTATTTTTACTGCTTTACACAATGATTAACATTTAATTTTTTGCATCAACTCAGTTTAGGAAGAACCTTTGGGGGAGACAGAATAGTTAAGGGATGACCTAATAAGCAAGAAGTCAGGAGACCTTTGTGCTCTTGGCTCCGTCACTGATCTGTTAAATTGGGATTGTGCCTCAGATTCTTCTCTATACAATGAAAATAAAATATACTTAAAGCTTTAAAACAGAGCTGCAAAGAAAAATGCAAGCCATCATACTAAATCCATGATGTTAAGTAGTCTTTTAAATAAAAGGTCAGACTGACACATTATTAGTCTGAGAGCAAGAAATTGTTCTATTGATTTAACATTTGGTCAGTATCAGTCTTGCTATGTGATGTAGACATTGTTTCAAATGTCACAATATTGCCAGAGCCTAGAGCACACTGCTTGTAAAAACACTTTTTTTAAAATGCCATTGAGTTTGATTGAACTGCATGATTAGTTTTTCATCATTTCAAAAATCGCTAGTTTTTTCCTGGTCTTACAGTGGTGAAGAAATAACTGTCTCAGACCTTCCTCTGAATGCCAAGCAGCGTGTTTCCTGTTGATGTCAGTGACTGTCTAGTGATTTGAGTGCTAGAGGCCAGCCTGGCCCTAATACTACAAGTGGCTGGAGTTTATCTATACCAACTCGTCTGGATTCCCGTTTGCTTGTGCCCATGAACATCCTGTCTGCTGGGGGGAAAATTTGTGGAAAAGTAGGGGGAACACAGCAATGTGTACTGAAGGTAACAAATAGGCGAAAACATAACTATCTATCTGCTGCTAGATGGATCATACAGGTTTTTAACACAACATATCCTAACAAATGGATTTGTTGGGATCAAAATTTACATATAAATCAAAAAACCCTTGTTGTGTGTGCATCAAAGGTTGCTGCGTTCTGATACTAATAGTACTTGAAATTATATGACATAACCAGAGCCCCTTGATAAAAGTGTAATCTTCTTGGGGGGTAAAATTAATTTTTCTATTGTGTATGCAACATATAGCTACTAATCTTCAACATTAAGACTGCATGCTTTTTTATGGTTAATCGAATCATGTATCAGTATCTCTTCCTACTTGTTTCTACAGTTATAGGCAGGCCACAAATACAAATTTTGGCTTCTCTGAAGATGAACCACTGAGACTAAAGGAAGAAAACTTTTGTTCAAATAACATAGTCGGTAATCAGCACTGGGGAATCAAAAAGTCAGAGCTACAGCAGAACTGTTACAGTTTTCAACATTGGGCTGTTTTTATTACCAAGAGTAATGGTCTACACTGGCTTAAGGCTCCTTCCCTCCTAGAAGCTGTTGCCTGGAAACAAAGTCCAGGAAATTCAGGCATCAAGGTGAACTGCTAGAGCGACTTTTGAAGAATGAGAGGTGAGCAAAATGGAGAGCAAAATCAAGAAAAAATGGCACCCTGCGTTGTCACTAGAATCTTTTAAGATAAAATTAAGATTTCAGCAGCCAGTTAATGTTACCATGTACATAGTTGTTATGAGACAGTCCCCGAGTTTATTTTCAAAAGTAATTGAGAGATTTCATTAATAACTCTGGGGTAACTTCTGAAAATATGAGTTGAATTTCTACCTCACGCTGGTTCTGTAAGAAATGTAAACCTCCCCCCTTATTTTTTAAAAATTTTATGTTTTAGATTCTTAAACAATGGCTATTTTTAATTTATTTTTCAAAAATTGGCTCATTACATTATTTTTGTACAAAAGGAGCAATCTTCAGCAACTGTATTTAATGAAAAACACAGTAATCCCCAGGGAGTAGGGATCATGCCTTCTCTGACTGAAAATAACTTAAAACGTTTTAGCAAGACTGTTCTTCTGAATCAATAAACTTTGACTTGCGTGTTCAGTTGCTTCCAAAATTTATGTGAACAGGAATTATCCCAAACTCATGGTAACAAGACCCTGTCCAATCCATGCATTTTTATCAAATAAAAGTCTTACAAGCAGATGGTAAGTTTAATTTTATTTGGTCCACAAGAAAGTATTTTCCACAAAAATATTGTAAAAATATATTGTAGTGTGTTTTATTTGGGAATAGTGATGTGGTTTCCTACAGAAACGTCAATTTTACAAAGTTGTGCTGCAGTTAATGTGTTTTGAACCATTATTAGAATACCAAGTCAGTCACATAGTACCCACTCAGAGTATAGCTATGTTTGCTGGAGAAAATACAAACCAAATGTATTTTTAACTCCTAAACAGAAGTAAATGGTTTTGCAGAGTATGCCAGTCCCATACTGGAGTGCCTTTATTACACAAAATCAAGTCAAAGAATCAGTGGCAACTTAGCTGGAAAGCCACTGTAAGTGGCTTTGTAAGACTATAGCAGAGTTTAGAGTAATCTAATGATAAGTAAACAGATATAATTTTGTTTAGGTAAAGAAGTCTTTACTGTTAGTATGGATTACTATTGTGCCTATAAAAAATACAGCAGAACTCTGGAATGAGATCTCCTTCCATCTCTCACTGGATTGTAGTATTGAACAGAATGTTTTTAATTATTTTTTATTAAGGATAAGCGCATTATTTATTAAGGACAGCATCTTGTAAGATTTTTTTTTTCCTGGTGAGAAGCTGTCTCCCTGTTGTTTGTAAGCTTGTTTGCTTTCTGTTTGCTGCGTGCTTTCCCTGAAGTACCAATGTCATAGAAAGCATCATAAACCAGCTGGAATTGCACTTCAGGCCATATTGAAGCTGCTGTAATCTAAAAGCATTAATGAGGGAAGACAAGCTTTGCGGTTGCAGGTAAGTGACTGTTTGGACGTAACAAGCAGCAGGCGATTCAGTCGCTATCGCGTTACGGGTGGCTCTCTGAGCAAGCAGTGCAGCCGTCCCACACAGAAAGTATTCCAAATGGAAGCTTGCTGTGATGCATGTCTACTTATACCTAGGTAACTTTTCTCCTTTGGGGAAATTCGGAGTGTTTATCAGTACAGATGCTATGACTTAACTTTAGGATATTTTATATTCTTTTATAATTCTGCCTGCTGTTGGACTGTGCAGTGGCAGACTACCCATGGAGAAGCTGCTTTCAAAAGTGCATCTGATATTCTGACTCCAGAAGAGTGCCAGATGCTAAGGCTACATCGAAAGAAAGGATTTGAGATATTGCAACAGTAAGCACTGCAGCACCTAACGCCCTATGGCAGCCACCATGGTATTTGTACAAGGGTCAAGACAGATAAACCTAAATGCACTTTTCAAGCTAGTGTGGTTTTCTATCTGCTATTCACCTATCGGGCAAATAATGTCATGGAGTTGGGGCTTTTTTTTTTTTTTTTTTTTTTTAATTACTGTCTTTGGCAGTGTTAACACCCTTGAGCCAAGACTAATGTTACAGAAAGGCTGGCCTTTTTTGTAATAAAGCTTTATTTTAGCTATAATGAGAATAGGAATATTTTTTAGTACTGTGGTTAAGCAATAGCCAGTTAATATGTACTGATCTGATCAGTGTTTTGGTTTTGCTTTTTAATTCACCCTAGTATATGGCATGGATTTTTTTTTAGATGGAGCAAATGTAGAGTATGATTTAATGTTTTACATGCTTTAGAGCTTCAAGGAACATCACTGTTAGCTGTAGAATTTAAATGGGCCATAATACCTTAGTCCTACTTTACATATGGCTTCAAAGAAGACTACATTACTTCAAAGAAGACAACATTAAAACATAAGCAGATTTTTTTCCCCTTTTTCAGCAAAAGCCTGAGAATACTCTTAGTAGCAGGGTCTGGTCAGTGTGAATTAATGGCAGTCTTCTGCTGTGTTACAAGGAAGTATTTTCACTGTTTACTCTTGATACAACCACTTCCCCATACAGGTAAATTTCAAATAACTAAGTTTGTGTCACAAATTCTCCAAAACATCTCAATTCATAGGCTGCCTTATGTCTGAGAATAAGCTAAAAATAACTATTTGCACGGTCCTCTTTCTGCCTGCTTACCATGGCTTGAAAATCATGCTTTTTATCAGTTAATAGAACTATGCGTACCTTTTAAAAATAGTAACAGTTTTTGCCAGTATGGAAAGCATTTTTCTATAAAACAAAAACATAAAATGGAAAATACTTTGATTTAGGAAAAAACCCTACATCTTTTAAACTGACCATAACAGAAAAAGGAACAAACGGGTGTTAAAAACCTAAGCTTCTACAAGGCATTCACTTCATATAAAATGTCAGCAAAATTGTAGCTTTAAGATGACTATCCTTAATTCATCCCTTTCGTGATATCTCAAATGCTAGTTATGAGTACAGTAGGTCAGGCTGCAAGTCCTGGAGAAGCAGGGTGCAGCGTGTGGATGCAAGCTAGATAAAATCGGTAAAGAATGTAGCCCTTTAGCTTTGGGCCTAAGGCTTATTCACTAATTCAGTGCACTGCTCAGGCTTCAGGTTTCTGTAGCTCGTATTTGCATCGCTGTCCACGGTTTTACCAACGGGTAAGCGATGAGCCTACGGAGGCTGAAGGCAGGCGTACTGTCCCGAGGGTGTTAGAGTAAAATTTTAGTGTAATGCAGCCATAGTTCTCATGAAACAAACAGTCCTAAAACACTGTTACACCTTTGAAGGTTCATTTCACTAGTTATCATCAGTAGTTTTTGCACACCTCTCTGGGTTACAGTAAAAAACCAAAACAAAACCCCCAAAACCCAGCACCCTAACACACACAGAAAAAGCCCACAACCAAAAACCAAACCAAAAAATGGAAAAACTTTGGTCTGAACACAGTGATCAGATGTAATTAAACTATCTTACTGCAGGATTTTAGAGAGTAGCCTTCATGCACTTACAGAAGCCAGAGCATCTTAATTATAACGCACTGTTTATCAATATTGTAACGTTTCTCACTGGTTCCTTTAAGAATGGAAGTTGAATAGTATCATAATCCATATGGTTCCCTGAATACTGCTTGGTTCTATAAAATGCTTCTCATCACCTTCATTATTTTGTGGTTTACAGATTTAGTCAGGTCAAAGAATCAAAGTAAAATTGATGACAGCAGTTATCTTTGCTACACGTAGACCTTGATTTCACTTCAGCAAAACACAGACAAATTTACTGAGCATAGAGAGTTCTTCCCTTTTCACCTACAAACAGGCCACTGATTTTTTATGCAGTACATAAAAATAATCCACGCTTTGTTCTTAAGCATCTTTGAGGCCTCTCTGGCAGTGCTTGTACAGTTGCAGGGCAGCCACATTCTTCTCATCCTCTTTTTTACACTGATTTCTGATCACATTCAACACATACAAAGACAGAATACACTCAACATACGTCTGATAACAAATGACACTTGATTAAGAGATTCTACTGTAATCCAATTAGTTTCTTAGCAATATAGATTAAAAGGCAATATTTTTCAGCCTCTCCTTGCAAACACATTCATATAGTGGCATTACGCTCAAATCACAGCTGATTTTACTTTATTTGCGCTAGTACCAAATACAAGCTGCTTAGCAGACAGGACACTCACTGTGAAGCCAGTCCTTGCCGGTCAGAGCTCAGGGCACATCGCTTTCGATGTAAGGGATGTCGCTGTATTTGCTTTCAGTCACTGCCCACTGTTTCACCGCCTGATCAAGAATCTCATGGGAGAGACGGTGCGCATAGTCTAGCACTATAGTGCTTGATGGGCCTTTCTCATCCACCTTCACTGCTATCAGTGATGATTTCTCCCCAGTGCATCCTTCATTACTTTCCCCGATCCTTTCATCCTGGATAGCATTTGAACCTGGAAAGGCATCCTTGGATTTGATGCATCCCATGGTACATT